CTCCTATTCTTGTATCTCATCTTCCATTGTAATCATTGTCATATATGATTAAAAGTCAGCGGATCAACATGGTTGATGTAGGCCACATGCTCGAACTACTCTAAACTCTTATTTCTCCCCTTACTGTTCCTTTTCTTCTATCTGCCTCTCCATAGAGTAACCATAATCAAAGGAAAGTTTCTCATAAAAATTTATCAGAATATTTTGATTTTCTTTGCCTACTTGAATGGAATAAGAGATTCATTGGTTATTATTGTTATTGTATGTGGGAAAGTCATTGCTTTGTTTTAATGAAAAGAACTAACAAATCGCTTATGTTCGATCTTATTCTATTCACCAATGGCAAGAATACGGGAATAGACAGCTTTGTTACTTGACAGAAGTACTTGAAAATCAAATTGAGGCATTGTAGCATTAAATTGTTGGTATCATCAATCCTATAAATGTTTCTTCTAATTATTTACCAACTTGGATTCTGCATTTTGCTCCAATTGATCCTAAGGGCATGCAGAAACAATGGTGTTGTTATTAATTATACTTCTTTGCCTCCTAATATAATCATAGATCTTACTTATAATCTCTTCTACTTCATGATCAATAGAACTCTCCATTCTCCATTGAAATTCTTGAAGGTGTCTGGAGATGTATAAAGGAGCCATAGAATAGAAACATTGAAAGTGATCTTCCATAACTTGAATGCAAAAGGGCCTAGATAATGGTGTAAAAGAGATATACGTTTCAAATAAAAAATGTGAAACCCCTTAAATAAAAGAAGCTAAACTCTTAAACATCAAGATGCCTTTTGGTGTAATGATCAGAATTTCATTATGAAACACTACAGTTAAGTGTGCTCAATCCCGAAGAAATCCTAGAATGGGCGACCTCTTGAGAAGTTACACCAACAGAATAAAACTGTGAGGCCCTTAGGCCAAAATAGACAATATCTCGATAGTTAATAGTTTCGGTTGTTACAAATAGTATCAAAGCAATATACCAGTTGAAAGATAGAAACTGAGTGGCATACAAGACAAAGTGATATGCCATTGGAGCCACCTCTTGAACCCTTTATGGGACAATGTGCTGTGTTGGGAGTCACTATTTGAACTTGCAGGGGCCACCTCTAGAACCACATCTACCTGGTGGATGATTCTAGGATAAAGATATTGACGATAACATCAATTACTTAATTGAGAGAGATTGTGAAACCCCTTAAGTAAAAAAAACTAAATTCTTAAACACCGAGGCACCTTTGATCTAATTTCATTATGAAACTCCACAGTTAAGCATGCTCATCTCGGAGAAATCCTGGGATGGGTGACCATCTAAAAAGTTACACCAATACGACAAAACCGTGATATCGATAGGAATTTAAAATTTCATCTTAATAGATTGTCCTTCAATGGATCTCACTTCAATAATATCTTTCTCTTTCATCTTCTTTTAAATAATGTCATTCTCCTTTAAAAAAATTAAATAACGCTCCTATAATTTAATGAGATCTCTCTGAACTATGAAGATGACATTGATATAAAAAAAATTAATAGCAAGATTTTAAGTTGACACCATTGTCAAAAATAAATTTGAGATTTGAGAAATGATCTCCTAAAGATATAGATGTATGATGATGGAGCCCAGATGATTGTGAAAATCAACTTGTTTGACCTTATGTGCCTTACTGTTATCTTAGAGGACTTCTAAAGTGATTATTTATTTAGGAAAACATCTCTCAAATGAAAAAGAGATAAGTGAGCCTCCAGCTGCTTAAAAAATGCTGGAGCTAAGTCCTATTCTCTTAATAAGTTTAACAAATAAGTCCATCAAAATCCTCTTTTTAATAAGAATCCAGAGTATAACAAAATGATTGATATTAGTAATCACAATCATTGCATTATAAAAAATATCTATATACTATTGAAGGCCATTATCGAGGAAGGTAAAATTGTAGTTGAAGAAGAAGCTTGAGTATTATAATGTTGGGCAAGACTTTTTATGCATCTAAACAATGCTGCTTCGGCTTCTAATCCTCTAACCATTGCTTGGATTTTACAAATTATTCTTATCCCTTCACACAACACAACAAGCTTCTCCTCCTCAGTGCATTTATCTGTATAATGATCTGTAATATATTCTTTAAGATAGCCCTACTTCACTATCTTCTCGAGTAGATATTTCAAGGTTTATAATCTTAAGTATATTCATGGCCAGGAATTCAGATTCCTGCACAAACTTCTCAGTTTTGATGAAACTTAGGCTTTGTTTGTGATGACTTTCTTACTGTTTTTTAAAATAGCTTTCTAGCACAAAAAATTTAATTTTTGTATTAAAAAGCTGTTTTAAGAAGCAATAAAAAAGCCATCCCAAACAAAGCCTTAATCACCTGCTCAGAGAGATCCTCCATACTTTTAGGAGAATACTTAGACACTGAAAACTTAAAATATTTATTATGTTTTTTTTTTCTGTTTATATCATCATTTTTCATATTTCTAAAAAAAGATAAAATTCTTGGGCGGGGATTTGGATTCTCGCACAAACTTCTCTGTATTGATAAACATGGTCACCTTCCCAAGGAGATTTTTCTATTAAAAGGATTCTTGGCCATTGATTACCTAAAATTCATTAGTTGTAAATCCAACTAAGCAGTCACCATCAAGAGGCTTTATTAAAAACCTTGGCATATAATCCTTTAAGCTCTCTCCTTTTTCTTTAAAGTAGAATTGAGAATGTGAGATAATCAAACCTATTTGATTCAAATTAAGAATTGTGCTAAGAATTTGAAAGAAAATGATGAGGACATCTACAAGATATTCTAACGCGAGGAGACATCGAAGATCTACGACTATGTTCGCATCTTTTATTTTTTATTAATGTATTATAATTTTATTATTTTAGTGTTCTTTTCCGTTTTTACCCCATTTGAGGGACTAGATGCCTGCAACCCCAAGGGGTAATTAGGTCTTTTATTTTGTTCTTGTATGGGGCCTATTTATAGCCCTATTTTACCTCTTATGAGTTTAATGATGATTATGAATGAAAATTTCAAATTTTCTTGCTTGATATCTTTGTGAGTTCTTGAGAGGAGAAACCCTAGGAGAGGGCCACGCATCACCCATCAGCCGCCGGTGAATTCCGGGTTTCGCGGTTAGTACTCGTAATAGTTTCTTATCGTATCTTCCTTTTCCCCTACATACGGCCACTTCTTCTTCCCCAAACAACCGCCGGCAATTTCAAGTCTTCATGCTGCCAATCAACCTCAACACGATCCCTTCCACTTAACCCACACACCTTCCTCCTCGTCCAAATGACACCCAAACCCCAAACCCTAATCGCCGGCCTTCCCCTCTCATGGATCCAAAATTGATTATCTTGCCTTTTTCCAAAAGTGGAGCATGAAGATTAGGAGTGAACTGCAATTCAAAATCTGATTTCAAATTCAGATTTTGAATTCTTTCCTAAATTGACATAATCCATATTAGGAAAGTGCTCAAATCGTGGATCTAATTGATTCAATCTCCACCCCAACCACCACCACCCGTCGGCCACCCAAATCCACCCTCTAGCCCGCCGGCCGCTCCCCCACCAATTGATCAACCTTCACACCAATTCCCCATCCCCTTGCTCCACCGCCGGCCACCTCACCATTGCCTTCTTGATGATGATTTTAATCATCATTAACTATTGCCTTAATTAGCCCACTTAATTTCGGAGAGATTTTAATCTAATTTGAAATTCAAATTCGAATTTCAAATACTTTCCTAAATTAGATGTTTCAAATTAGGAAAATTCCTAAAATTAAGTCTAATTAAACTTTAATTAGATTTCATTTATTTTATTCTTTCCTAATTTAAGTTTGTAAACTTGGAAACTTGGCTTTCCCTCCCAACTCCCCTCCCCCTCTCCCCACATGCCACCGGCCTCCCTATGGGCTTCAATTAAAAATAATTTTGAATTTCAAATTATTTCCCTCCACCCTTTTGAAATCTGAAATAGAATTTCAGAATTTCTAATTCAACCCCTCCACCACCCTAACCCTAACTTTAGCCCAAAAACAAGGTTGGCAATTGTTCCACCTCAAATTTATTTTTTTTAATTATATAATTCTTTAGGTAATTTGTCCCTTCAATCTATCTTTTAGTCTTTATTACAAGGATTTTTAGGAAATTGTCCCTTGACCCTGCGACCTGACTGGGGTCAAGGTCGAACCCCACCAGGGGGCGCTGCCGACAAGGATCAATCTGTCAGGTTGGATCAACTACCTCCTCTGACTACCTCCACGATGACCCGGGACGACGGAACCATGGGATCTTGATCAAGTCCATCATCCATTCCCCCACCATCCGCTTTAAGTGCAAGGTGATAACATTTCAAATTTTAAATATCAAATTTCCAAACCCAAACCCATGATGTTACTATATTCCAAATAACACATATTTCTATGTATCTAATTAATGACAAGCCTTAATCGCAAGTTCTCTCTCCTTATCAGGAGGTGTAATTAACTATAGGGACTTGCGCCTATAGAAAGCTACTCATATCATAAAGTCCTCGCAAAATGAGAGTGAAATATATGGGTATTGTCTTATCTACAAACCCAGTATGCCTTCCCAAAATTTACTCAGGAACTTAATCCGTCAAAACTCTCCAAAAGCAACGGAGAGGTCAGGGTGCAAATTTTCGGAGCCCACAGATAAAAATTTAGGCTTCGCTTGGGACAACTTTCTTACTACTTTCTAAATGAATTTAAAAAACAATAAGAAAGCTATCTCAAACGAACATGAACACGCCTTTCTTTTCTTGTCTCTTGGTTCTTCTTCCTCTAGCTCCTTCAATATATAATTTTAATATTTTCTACCAAAAATAATTTAATTTACTTTGAGATGTATATAATATATAAATAATAAATTAATTTTATAGTTATACTCTTCTCAAAACAAATTCAATAATTTTAATTTCCTAAATAAATTATTGTTCATGAAATACCAATCCTTTTTTTTTTCCACAAATTTTTATCATGATAAAGAAGTTCCTCTCATACAAAAACTTGTGGGGAAGACTAACAAAGAATGTTCCACCAAAATGTAACATAGAAACCTCATACATTTCTTTCTATCTAGAACAAAAATAATAAATTTCTAAGAAAAAAATAGAACATAGTGTACATGCCCTGTAAATTTCATGAATCTTCTATGCATATCTTGTTTGATCCCAGCAATAATGGCTGACATAACCTCAATTTATCAAACTGAACTCTACCAAACACTCAGTGACAGAGAAAAGAGAGAGTGAATATATTCATATCAAAATTCTGAAGGTTCAAAGAAGGAAAAACCATTAACCTCCGGTAGCAGTACTCATTGATATGGCTTCCAAAACCAAAGCCCTGGCTGTAGAATCTGTGGTGAACTGACCCATCATCGCCATTGTTGCTGTGCTGCTTCCAACCTTCTCGATCCCCCTCGATATCATACATATATGATTTGCTTCAACAACCACCATTACTCCCTTTGCAAGAAAAGAATAGACGGCTTCTGCAATCTGTCTTGTAAGCCTTTCTTGCACTTGAAGCTTGCAAGCATAGAAATGAACAATTGATTGCAATGCAGATCTATCAATAGGTCCATCATGGAAGAAACCAATGTGAACTACACCATGGAAGGGTAAGAGATGATGTTCACACTGAGCACAGAATGGAAAATTCAGTTCTGAATGGATCTCATCTTTACTGTGAATATACCCGTTTACCTTTTCACACGAATGGGCTGAATTGATAGTAAACTTAGTCTGCTTAAAATCTAAGTTGGATCTCCTGAAGTTCATCAGCCAATGCACATATCGATATGGGGTGCCAAAAAGCTCTTTTCTCGAGAGATCTTCACCAAGTGACTGAAGAATTGAAGACACTGCAGCTACCATGGCAGACTGGGAAGAAACCTTGCCAATTGGAAAATTGCTTCTTGAAATGTTTCCATGGCACTCAGTTAGATCAAGAGACATTGATGGACACCACGAGTGAATTGAAGAACACCCTGCATCACTCAAATTTATACCTCTTAATTTCAGAAGACCATGAAATTCATCCCACAACGAGCTGTTCTTGTCATTAAAGATCCCAGTACTCGAACAGACTGTGGTTCTCACCCAGCCTTGCATAGTAGATCTGGAAGGATGGCTTGGATTTGGATTGCATTTGAAGACTTCTGGGAACCGAATATGCCAACACTGTAGGGCAACAGAAACACCAGCAGGGTTGATGCTATTCTGCAATGCCCAACAAACTTCATCGGCCAGTCTTTTTGGTTCTTGAAGCCTTTTCGCATAAATATCGGCAACCCTAGAAAGCTTACTGAGACCTACAACTCTTTTTCCTGAAGGAACATAGCCAACATGGCATTGGATGCTGAAGGGAAGCAGGCATGACTCACAAAAAGAGAATAGATTGATGTCTCGGACTACCACCAACCCACCAGCACCTCCGGCTTGACCAGTTCCATTATCCAAGCCAGCTTCAGGAAACAGAGCGTCTTGTACAATGTCTTTCACTTTCTGCCTGTAACCTGCAAGCATGAGCGAATTTATATTCCATTAAATAAAATAACCGAATTATTATTCAATTATAGGTTGCTCAAGCTTCAAATGATGGTTATGTTTTTTAAACATTGTTTTTTCATGGGGATTGTGGGAGCCAGCATGATAGCTGCAGTCATATGTAAAATTAGCTAAAATTATTGAAAAAAAAGAGCTTTTAAAGTTATGCTATTATAGATTTTTCTCTTCAAAAAAAAGTTTAACAGCAACTTTCTTATAGATACCATATTCTTGCATATCTGATTATAAAAAACTTCACACCCCAAAAATTTTAAGTAGCAAAATAAAAATGTGACAGTATTCTATAAAATATTAAAAAAATTGTCCCAAGGGCATCCTTAGATTAAGAGCATCATTTATACGAGGTAGAAAACCAAGAAAGACAATTCTAATAGTGATTGGAAATAGACTATCTTCTAACTTTCCCATGGTTAAATTTCCTTGCACAAAGAGGAAAAGTATAAAACTCAAATATTGAATTAGAGCCAAACACTCAGGACCACTCTGTTACAGAGTGCCAAAAATGCACTATTAAACAGAGCTTCTTGCTTGGAGAGAAACGCAAAAGAAACCCTATTGCTAAGAAGCTAATAATCACGAGGAAGCATGAAGGCAATTGCCCACTGGAAATAGGCATTAGTAAAAGAGGCATTCAGGAAGCTGTTTTTATTAAAGTAAAATGAGACAAAGTGAAATTTGGTTTGCAAAAAATTTGACCGAATGTAAGATCAAGGTGCATTTTAGAATGTTGCTGCCCATATTTGAAGGGTGAAGTATATTCAGTTAATTACTTTGCATCACAATTATCAGGGTAGATATGACTTTCACCAAGGTGGAAACAGCTACGATTTCAATATGCTAAAACCTTACATTACATCGCGCCTTGTGCAAACAAAAAATATTTTCTAATCTATAGTTCACAAACCACACCAATAAAAAAGGATAGCATTCCAATTCACCGAAAGTGCAGCTTAGTCAGCCATACAAAAGGATTCTGCAACACTAATCTTACTTGCTAACTAACCAAAACTTTGGATGCCAAATTGATAAGACCTTTTTAATCTTCTAGAAGTTATATCCTTATCTACTTCCTTATTCTCATATATAAAAGATCTATGATACTTTAACTTCACATCGAGGTCGGCTAAAAATATTGAATGATGCTTGTTAAATTAACTAAAATTGATATCATAAACTCAATCTTTGTTCTAAAGATTATAAGTGATCCACTTTTTAAATATTTTTTCCATTGTTCAAGCTTTCCACCTACAACAATAGATGTATCTTCGATTAGAACAATCTCATCTGCAAAAAGCATGCGTCAATGCATCAAATTTTAAATCTCATTTGTAAACATCTCAATTAGCAACACAAAAATATATGGACTATATTTTGATTCATGATATAATGCTACTATAATCAGAAATTCTTTCGGTACTTTAGTTCTGATACTAGTTAGTTTTCTCTCATACATGTTTTTAATAACTTTAATATAACTCACATTTTTTATCAATTTAGGCCATAGTTTTTTTATGTAGCAAGGAGCATGGAAGGAGAGAGGAGAGCTAGGAGGTTTCTGCTACTGACCTAATCATTTACTTAGATAAGGTTAGGGATTTGGCACAAAAGGAGTATGACATAGAACAGGAGGCGGAAGAGGTAGGGGGGGGCGCATAGGAAAACCAACCTTTTGCCATTGGTAACTATAGGATAGGAGGTTGAGAAGGTAGAGGAGGACAAGAAGGCTGTGGATATCATCCCATCTCTTGCAATTATACAAAAGAGTGATATATGATTGGTAGGGTTTAAAAGAAGGGTGGAGAAGAATAAGTATTTGACTAGGGATTTCACAAATCCACCAGGGAAGAGGCATAAGTCCATGGATCCATATGTTAGTGATCCCCTTCACTTAATTGATGAGGAGCAATTGTCCTCCTTCAAGTCTTTAATGTTAGGATTAGTTGACAAGTCCAAGGAAAAGGAGATGAGAGTGGGCAGTGAAATCTCAATCTAGTTCTAATCGATGTTGCACCGATACGGATATGGCGACACGGATACGGTACACGTCAATTCTTAAAAATACAGGATACGGGTATGGTGTGGACACAATATTATAATTTATAAATCATACATAAAAAAATAAGAAAACAATCAAAGCATAATATTTGAAATGGCAACAAAAATGAAAGCAACATTATTTGTAACCTTGTAGCATATAATATCAAAATAAGGAAGGATTAATAAAAATGCTAAACAAGTAAACATACTATCTTTAATCGCTTGTGAATTTAATTGGTTGAACTAGAAAATTTTACATGTGAAAGCATTCAATAGAAAAGAAGCTATTTGCTAATCGAAAAATAAATTAAAAAATGAATTTTTCTCATGAAAAGAAATTAAATAAGGCAAGATTAGAAGACAGCGGAATCGAACCGATCCTTCGTGAGAAAACCCTTGCTCACAACTGCGGAAGTATATAAAAAATACACATGTTTTTTTTCAACGGGACACGCGTATCGGATATGCGCGTCCTTTTGAAAATAAATATTATTTTAATTGGATACGGCTTTGCCGTTTTCGACACGTATCGTTGCCGTATTGGACGCGTATTGTGTCTGACACGTATCCAATACAACACGCCTTCATAAATAGGTGTATCGGTGCAACATAGGTTCTAACAGTTGAATACTTCCACTATATGTTTATAGATATCAAGATAAAATTATTTAATTTATTGAAAGTATAATTCCACATCTGAATAACCATTATAGCAACTTCAATTTCTATTTTGGCAGTATATTGATTATTTATGTTACTTATTAAAGGAGTAAATTTGGCGATAGCCAAGATCTATGGATCTGACATAGTTGTGTTGGATAAATCATTTGACCTATATTGTATATTAGTAGTCTCCCCTTTTATAGGCTAAAAAAAAGACTCTTTTAAGTGGCCTAATGTGGCTCTTATGTACGTCATTAGACATGAGAAGCTTCTAAAGTTAAGGGTAGATGCAGGACTCATATATTTTCTAATAAAATAGAATAAAGTTTATTGAATTATATATTAGATCTCACTTGTTAAGTTGTCTATGATATTTTATGACTCTAACCCCTCTTACACCCAAACGCAGATCTTGCATGGAATGAAATTTATGCTCTGCAAAATCTTTCCTAAGTTGTTTAAGCAATTAAGGTTATGTGCAAAAGACATGAACTTTTCTTGAATTGTAATCTATTGTACTATGATTGTTCGGTATATCTCTTGAATTATATTCTATTTTGACAATATTTTAATTATAAATGTATATTAAGCAACTTGTTGTATGGCTGTATCTTACCTGCTATGATAGCTTTTTTTTGTATCATAATTTATGGATTATTCTGTTTTATCTAACTTATATTCTATCATATCATAGTTATTGTGATTACACAACTATTTAAACTACTATTATAACTGCTAGAATACAATCTGTTGAATTTACAGGTTCAAAAAGGTACAAAATTCTCCAAAAATAATATTCAAACCTTTTATGAACCAATGTTCGTCACAGTGGATTTTAGATAAGTAGTTTGTCATCAACAAAAGAGAGATTTTGACCCTTTCATTCTGGCCTATTTACCAACAGACATATTACTCCCATTTTTTTCCATTATGAGGGATAAAATAAAAATTCCAATGCTAGGAAGCTATACAATACACAAGTAGGAAGTACGAAATCCACCACAGCAAATCCACACAGAATTATAACTAAAAACAATCACAAGTAAGCTCATAGAATAAGGAAATGAAAAAAGGAATCCACAAAGAATTCCATCTCAAACCCCCATCTTTCCAGCAAAACCTAACAGATCTGATTTCATGACAGAAAATCAACAAAGAAAAACAAGAAGCGTAGTACCTATAGTACCGTCTCGAAAAGCCTTGGCTACCCGCATCGGCGTCTTCCTGAGCCCCTCCCTCTCGGGATCCTCCCCTAGCCCCTTAAGCAGCACCCTCACATGATCCTCGATAGTTCCCGTCCCCAACTCTCCTCCTTTTCCTCCGATGGCTATCGCCGGTATCTCCGGATCGAACCGCCCATCCTCGAGCGCCCCCATCTTTCTTCCTCCACCAAAAACGAGTTGGTGGGCGTGGAATGGTTGGGTAGAGGAAGGAGAGCCGCACAACACGGAAGCGGAGGGCTGCTGTTGGTTTTGGGGATTTGTGGATCGAAGGGACCTGAATTTTTCATTATCCTTTATAGTGTGGAAAGAGAGATAATCGAAAGCGAGAGTTGTGGGGTCTTAAAAAAGCGCGGCACCTGTGTTGCTTAGCGGAGAACGGTCGCCGCCGGAATGGTTGGCCGCCGGAATGATTCGCGCGTGGCTAAAACGGGCAATATCTTAGTTATAAATAATTTTTATTTATACTTATATCACATCAACTATTACTTGAAAATTAATATAGTTCATACATCTTTATTTATTTATTTTAAATTAAGGGCATTACTCCAATATTAGAAATTATTATTTGCGGTGTTCAAATATGTCAGGAGGTCAATTCGAACGTCCGATTTGACCTCCGGATACGTTCAGACAACGCATGTAATAATTTTTCTAAACAAATATAACACATACGTGAGACTCAAATCAACGACCTCTTAGTTCTAAGTCACACTCCAGACCAACGAACCAAAAAGAGGTGCGTAATATTTTTGTGCGATTGAGCTTCACCTTTTAACTTCTATGCGAATATTCTTTTTCATCAATTATAAAATGGCAACTATACTGGCCAGTTTGGTGTACTTTTAGGAATGTAATTGAGCCCAATATGTTCGTAAGCTGGCTTGAGCTCGACTTGTTAACAAGTTAAAGAATGGAGTTTACCAAGTCGAAAGATCATGCTCAAGGAGCCTATGCTCAAATTTGTATATTAAATAAACTCGAACGCAAGCTCAATCTGATCGGTACATAAACTCATTTAGATACTCAATTAATTTAAAATATATTCAAATTTTAATTTAAAGAGTCGAGTTTACCAAGTCGAAAGATCATGCTCAAGGAGCATATCAAGTTTGTATATTAAATAAACTCGGGCTCAAGCTCAATCTGATCGGTACATAAACTCATTTAAACACTCAATTAATTTAAAATATATTCAAAATTTAATTTAAATTAGCATTACATAATTTTTTCCCTTTTTAAATTAATTTCAAATTTAAAGTAAAAATTCTATTTTAAAAAATTAAAAAAAAAATTATCTAATTAAAAAATCAAGCTTAACAATCGAGTCAAGTTCGAACTTTCCAAATGAACTTGCCTATAAATTTTTTTAACGAGTCGAACTCGAGCTCAACGAGATTTAAACAAGCTTAACTTAATTACACAAATATTCTACTCATTTACTCGTGATTGAAAATAAAATAAAGTTTCATTATTAATAAAATATTTTCTCTTTCTAGTTTTATGTTTAAAGAATAATCAAGAAAAATAATTTCATTTTCAAAATATATATAATATTCATTTCTCATATTAAGAAATCATGAAATCACTTTATTTAAATTTTCATGCTCCTTTTAGAATGACAAATAATTCTTCCAAAGTTCCTTAAAACTTTTTTTTTTTAATTACCAAGAACATTATTTAATTCTTCATAAAAATATCACATGGCACATGCCAATTTCTAGTTGGATTCTTCTTTCTCCAGCCAAGAACATTTTTGCCTCCTCCCTATCACTAGAGTTTGAATAAATGTTGCATTATTTTCAAAATTACCCTTCTATGTGCTCACAAAACTTTATGAAATATTCCTTCTCCCTACCATAATACTCTCTCTCTCTCTCTATACCATCTTCACATTCAAATTAATCTATATACTAAAAAGATGCTTTATAAATCAGTAAAAAAATTGTCCCAAACAAAACTTAAAACAGCACAATTTTTCCCAAATGAAATGCAATTATGTTTGGAACCATGACATTTTTCTACTTGTGTGAAAGCTTAGTAAATATATAAACAAATTACAGTTAAATAGTATAATTGCAAATTTTTAATTGCTTAAACGCAAAGCTTAAGGCTTTGTTTGAGACAGCTTTCTTACTGCTTCTTAAAGCGGTTTTTTAGTAAACAAATTTTAATTTTTTATTAAAAATCCGCTTTAAGAAGCAGTAAGAAAGCCGTCCTAAATGAAGCCTAAAACTAACCCAATTTACACGACAAAATGCCGAAGAACCAACTCTTCCTCTCTGTAATATATATAAAGATACTGACACAACTTTTGAGCAAGACGCCATAGAACTATTGGTTAACTTAATAAAGTTGATTTTTTATGATTAATACAAGTCAGTATGGACAAGGAAATGAGAGTTACAGAACATTACAGATACATCAACAAAGGCAAAGCTGGTAAACTAAAAGGTTCATCATAGCAACAATGTTATAACAGACTAGAAAGGGAAATACTACTCTTTGTTGTTCCAAGTTATTGAGTCACTCGGTCATGACAGGCTTGTTCTCACTTGCCTTTGGCCTCTGCTCCTTTGGCTTCTGCTCTTCATTTTTCCTGTTCAAATCAACCAAAAATGACTTGGATCAAAGATCATTTACCAAACAAAAAAAGAAAAAAATCTAGTATGTTGCAGTAAATAGAGCAGAGCAAAGCTGCTTTATAGATACCATTGAGACATCAAATATTAAATTACGACATTTAACATATTGAATATTGGTTTAATCACCATAAAGACGCTACCATCTACTGAGATGGTCAGTTATATATATTCCTGGGAAACGTTAAGTTTATGAGATGTGGGCTCCCAAAATTTGGTTTTGGGGTAAATTTTCAGAATGTATCATTGGGTTTGAAATAAGACATTACCCAAAAATTTCGCCCTCATTTGCGAGGACTTTATGATATGAGTTCTGGTTTCCTATAGGCGCACTATAGTTAATTACCCCTCCCAATAACGAGAGAGAACTTTAGTTCCAGGCTAGTCATTAAATGAATACATCATGGGCGGATCCCATATAGTCTACAGTGCGCAAATGCCCACCCTAAAAAAAAAAAAAAAGTCTTTATGGAGGTTAATTTGAAATTTTGAGCCCCCTAAAAAAATTATTTTGCCCATCATTTAGGAAGAGGAAGACATATTGGTTGAAGAAATCACAAAAATGTAATGTACTTACTTTCTAGTTTGTATTATGAGTGAAACTTTATCCAATGGAAAAAGAAGTGTCTTATGATTTATAAGTTGGGTATAAAAGGAATTCTAAGAAATAAGAGAAAAAAATTTATAATATGTATACAAATAAATCCTATTTTTTGTTATACAAATAAATCTTATTTTTTGTTTGGCTGTTTTTTTAATTATTTGTTGTTGCATTGCATTGAAATCCAATTATTTTTTATTAATTTATGATTTGTGAGATTCTTAAATCCATTAAATATTATGCATACTTTCTGGTTTAATTATCTTTTTTTCCCTCAAGTTAGATAACATTAAGCTTATTTATTATTATTTTTCTCTAAGTTAGGGTCTAGCTTCATCATAACGTATATGACTACACTCCAACTTATATTATTACTAAAATCAATATTAAATTGGAAGATAAATGATAAAAATTCCTCTTATAAAATTGATAGCATCATGTTGATTAAATTATTTTAAAAAATTTATTTTATTATTATTTATTTTATTTTTGTTATTATTATTATTGTTATCTAATTAATTAAAATTTTGCCCACCCTGAAAAAAAAAGCTTGATCCGCCTCTGGAATACATCGTATCCGTATATACGTGATATCCGACATATAGTAGCAGCATTAGTTGGTATTTTAAAATTTGAAATTTCATCATCTTACACTTAAAGCGGATGGTGAGGTGAATGATGATGAGCCTGATCATGATCCTATGGTTTCATCATCCCGGGTCATCATGGTTCCTAATCTACTTAGTCAAAGTAGTCGACCCAACTTGACAAAAGGATCCTTGTCGGCAGCCATGAGTTACTTCGTCCAAAGGTACCTTGTAGACCTGGGATGAGTATTTATCTAGGAGGATAAACTTGAATCCACCTTAACTGACATAAGGTTTTGTGCACTATTGAGCATATCCTATTGATTCATATCTCAAGGATTTAATACAATTGGAGAACATACGGGCACTAAGAATGACCATAATTTAGTGGTTTCATTTGGCGGCAAACCACCTGGTTCAGACGGTTTCGATCATAATCGTTTACCTATCTTGTCATTTAGCAACAAAACTATAGGTGTGGTGCTATTTGACAGTGAAACCACCGATTAGATGACACGTGTCACATCCTGACTGACAAAAGACAGATTGAGAATGCATCCTAGTGATATTCTCGACTAGACATTAGCTCTTTGTGAGCTAAAAAAGTTTTCAGATTTATCCACCTCGGCAAACTTTTAGGGAGGGTGGATAGGTATTTAAGCTTTAAGTGCTTAATGATTAGTTTTATTTTTAAATATCTTGAGTTATGGTATTTTTGAAATTTTGAATATTTATGTACATTGGGGAGGCTTTTTAAAATGACTTCCTGCTTTTGCTTACAGGTGAATCGTAGCATTATCATTCGGCATATCCATGAGGTACTTCATTATTCTGATGTAAGCTACATTTTCTCATTCTTCGAGAGATCAGATCTACAAGTCATTTAGTCCTTGCTTAGACTGGGTAAGTACATCCAAACGACATGATGTCAATCTGTGATAGATGAGGTATCCTCATCTGATGAGACCGAAGGCTTGGCTAATGCCTTGTTAGATTGCTTTGTCTTCGACTCATCACGAGGTAGTCTCCTCAAAGCATAAATATTACATAGTACAAGGTCATCTTTGATGTCTCAACGACATTCTAGTATATGATATACACATGGTACATAGAGCTTCTTCTACGACTCAAGAATAGTGTACTCGAGGGGCCCGTTATGTGTATTTATGATGCATATGTAGGATATTGGGCTACGAGCCTTGCTCTTTGGATCTTCTCCCAAATAACACAACATATTTTCAGGAGCATTAGTATTTTTGAAGATATGATAGATTGAGACGTCTTCTCTCTCTCTCTTTTCTTCAAGTGCTCATTCTTTGATTCTACAAAATTATTCATACAGTCATTTAATTTTGCGTCACAATTGGAATCTTTCTTTGATGATGTGTCAACGAGTTTCTTTCGTACATCGAGTTGCCTTTATACCCAATATATTCGCAACATCTCAATTATCGCTGCTTGTAGGTTTCTGTAGGGGGCACTGTTGTATGCATCACAAGCCTTTTACTGCCACATACGGGTATGCTTTGTTAGGTACATATCTTCTATTGTCGTCCACGGGTAGGCTATTATAGCACAATAAATCATCCATGATTATTTGTAAGTGTCTCTACAGGTCACCTGTCACTTTCAACAGGCAAGAAGTCGCATACAACCCAAGTTCTCAAGCATTTGTTGCAAATCGACTATCCCTGCTTGCAAGAGATAAGTGCATTTGCCTGGCATTGAATGGTAGGTGATTGCAGGGATGATCTGGCATCTACTGCACATTGTTTGTCATCACCTGTAGGTGGACTACTGTAGCTTGATGGGCTTCCTACAGTTGTTTGCAATTAGCATATGCATTTGTGTCTACAGGGGATTCGATGTACTTGCGAGATATCCATTGTTATTATCCACACATAGGTCATATCAACCGTCTTTGCTTGCCTTCAAATTAGTGCATTCACCTAATTTTATGTTGGACGCCGGCTGAATTAAATTTATCGTCAACTCTCTCATGCACATTGGCTTTGTGTTCATAGGAGACTACCACATACATATGCAAGACAATTGACCTTGATTGATAGGAAATTATTACATCCACCGCTCGTCTGTTGTCATCATTTACAAGCGAGCTTTTGTCGTCAGCTTGCATATCTATTGTCACATCATATGTTCCTTATTTGCACATCTACTGCAATCTCCTTGGATATGCTTGTAGAGGAGCCAATGCACTTGCATCGTATCCACCATCATCAATCACAAGTGGGCTGGCATATTTATTGGCAGTAGTATTAGTTGCATGCAAGCTGTTGGCATTGACTGCAAGGCATCGCTACATTCAGTGCCTGTTGTCAGTTGTCATCTTTATTTGGTTTATTCTGTGCATGATAGATCTTTATTTGGTTTATTTTGTGCATGATAGACTTTTTGCTATTGCTTGTAAATGTTGTTGCTTGCAAGTACAGTGCATTCAACTGCATGGAGACTTATTGTAGGAGTTCATTACATTCATCATACATCAGTCAGCATCATTCATTATGTGCCATGTCTCTTACAGATATTGGTGATTGATGTTCACTTGTAATTGCTTAGATGCTATAAATTGATTATCATTTATTGCCTGTGTGCATCAAGGCCTTGTTCATCACAAGTCCCATGTTATTTACTCATGCAAATTTGTTTGAATGACTTGAAATGCATTTTAGGATTTGCATTTTTAAGTTATTTGTGCATTCTAGAAGTTAGTGTTTTGTTCCTTGTTTTTCAGTTGCATTGTCATGTTCCCTGCATTATATTGCAATCAGGTCCCATGTATTGTTGTTCAAGTTAGGTCATCTCATTATTCATATTCTATGCATTTAAGTCTAAATTTCGGCAACACTCCATATCCCACATTTGGGAGACATTTGGGGAGTCATAGCTTTCCTGCCACGCCAAGAAATATGTGCACGGTCGATGTCGTATGACACCGCAACCGTAATCTTCAACCTCACCACGTCAAGAAATGCGTGCACAGTTAGTGTCATATAACATCACAATCGTAATTTTCAATCTTACACCATATCAAGAAAGATGTGCATAGGCTTTCAGGGGTACATGTTTGAAAATGCATAGTTTTTTCCCTGCAATGCTAAGAAAAGCGCACACGAGGATCACCTACCTCTTCACAAGCACCGCATCGAGCTTCCTCCTACCGTGCTAAGTAAAACGTGCATAAGTGGTTGCCCATTACGCTGCAAGCGTCGAGAACAAGGTTTGGACCTTTACACCTTACGTAGGGGTCGACGACAGTGTTGTCGGTTGTGTCGGGGCAACGACAGCAATGACATCGACGTCAAAGACTGAATCAAGGTCGATGTTGGAGATCTACGAGGCTCAAGGCACATTTTTCTTCTCCTCCTTTCTCTTTTTTTATATTAATTATAATTAAATTAATTATAATTAATAACAATTAACTATAATTAATTTAAAATAAAAAATTAAGTATGATCAATGATAATCAATCATAATTAATAATTATTTATGTCATTAATTATAAATATTAATAATTAATAGGATTTGAGTAGTATTTATGCAAAAGGCTGTCGGTTTACAGGAATTATGCAGTATTTGAACAAGATTTATGCAGATTTGAGAGGATTGTTCGGATACAGGATTTATGCTGGATTTGAGTAGTATTTGTGGAATTGTTAAATATCACAGCTCGTTAAATCCTCAGTTTCCCTCTTTATGCAGTAGAAGGGCTGCTTGACAATAGGATTTATGCAGATTTAAACTAAATCCT